AGTGATTTTTGTGCTAGATTGGAGAACCAATTACAGTCTCCAGTCATTGTGACTTATGAGCAGAGTTTGTAGTTGTGCTGTAGTTTTATGAAGTATGTGTATAAAGTAAGCTGTAAACAGAGGCCGTGTCTGATCATAGTGATGAAGATGTATTTGTAGTTTTTCCTTTAGTATCATATATGCCGTATGTTATTGTTCTACTGGCTGCTTCCTTCACAGTAACTGCAGATAGGTGAAAAAACTTTATTAAAGGTATTATTACACTGTTTATGGATGTACATTGTCACTGTCGAGAATGAGTGACAGTAATTCTGGACCTTTTTTATTCCATTCATAATGAAATCTTGCAGCATAACATTCTGACCACCTCCTTGTTTCTACACTCATTGTCCATTTTATCAGCTCCACTTACTATATAGGTGCACTTTGTAGTTCTACAGTTACAGACTGTAGTCCATCTGTTTCTCTGATACTTTGTTAGCCCCCTTTTACCCTGTTCTTCAGTGGTCAGGACCCCCATGGACCCTCACAGAGCAGGTACTATTTGGGTGGTGGATCATTCTCAGCACTGCAGTAACACTGACGTGGTGGTGGTGGTGTGTTAGTGTGTGTTGCGCTGGTCTGAGTGGATCAGACACAGCAGTGCTGCTGGAGTTTTTAAACACTGTGTCCACTCACTGTCCACTCTATTAGACACTCCTACCTTGTCAGTCCACCTTGTAGATGTAAAGTCAGAGACGATAGCTCATCTGCTGCTGCATAGTTTGTGTTGGTCATCCTCTAGTCCTTCATCAGTGGTCACAGGACGCTGCCCACAGGAAGCTGTTGGCTAGATATTTTTGGTTGGTGGACTATTCTCAGTCCAGCAGTGACACTGAGGTGTTTAAAAACTCCAGCAGCACTGCTGTGTCTGATCCACTCAGACCAGCGCAACACACACTAACACACCACCACCACGTCAGTGTTACTGCAGGGCTGAGAATGATCCACCACCCACTCATAATGTTACGCCTGATCGGTGTATATTATATGTATATATTCATACTTTGTGACATTGTTTGTCTATTGATGCTCTGTTAATTGTTGACCTACCCGGTAATGAACTGTCCTATCCACACTCTTAAAAGAGATCATTCTTCAAGGGTTCTTTAGTAAAGAAAATGGTTCTATATAGAGCCATGAACACTCATAGAACTATTTACATGCTTAAAGGGTTCTTTGCATCATGACAGTCTTCCTCAGATTGATGCCGAATGTGCTGTAGAAGGTTCTATATAGAACCTTTTTAAAAAGGGTTCTATATGGCACCAAAAAACGTCCTGCTTTTGTTACAATGGTAAGCTTAACACAAAAGAGGAACCCTTTTTGGTATTATATGGGAAAAAGGTTCTATATAGAACCATCAGCAGCATTCTCCATCTGTTTGAAGAGCGCGTTCACGCTACAAAGAACTCTTTAATTATTCAAAGGGTTCTTTGATTGTTCGTGGTTCTACATAGAACTATTGCCATTACTAAAGGACCCTCGAAGAATCATTTTTTTAAGAATGTAGCTACTGTTTCAAAGTTTACATACTTAAATATACGAAAAAACTACCCTGATATAGCCTAACAGTGTGACCTTTCACACATATACAAAATAAATATCATTTGAAATCTATGACCAGCTCTAAATGTAGGTATTGTGATATAAACCGAGTCTGTTCTACAGTTTCTCATTAGGCTGAATGAATAACCGACTCTAAATGTAGGTATTGTGATATAAACTGAGTCTGTTCTACAGTTTCTCATTAGGCTGAATGAATAACCGACTCTAAATGTAGGTATTGTGATATAAACTGAGTCTGTTCTACAGTTTCTCATTAGGCTGAATGAATAACCGACTCTAAATGTAGGTATTGTGATATAAACTGAGTCTGTTCTACAGTTTCTCATTAGGCTGAACAACAACTCAACAGTAGCTATGGTAGAGCAAGTTTGTGGGTGGACCCTGGAGAGGTTAATAGCTTGTTGGAGGTAAATAAGGTTCATTGAGTTGACTTGTTTTTGCTGATACTCTGTCCCTGCAGGCCTGCTGCTGTTGCTATGTGTCATTGGGGTGTAGAATGGCGACTCCACAGAACTCCAGAAGCAGCAGCTCTTCCTTATCTACGGCCAAGAGGTGCGTCAACACTCCTTTCTTCAGTCTGTGCATTTCTGAGGATATCAGCTCAATTATCCTGAGCTTTTCTGAGCCTCTCCTGCGGGCTGTGAGTTTATATTTGTGTCCTGCAGAGCAGTCCTGGTCAGTGAGCTGCTGGGTTAGATCATCTGTGGCTCCGGCTGCAGGGGAAGGTTTCCGGTGTGTGTGCTAATGTGCAGTGATGGAGGCTGATGGGTGTCATGTTGATGTTGCTGTTTCTCCTCTTCAGCGTGGAGAGGCTCAATCACACACTCGCGTGTTTGTGTTGTTATTCGGCTTGCTCGCTCGGCCCGTCTCCGCCGTCTCTGACTGCGGTTGGGGCCGGGGTGGCTCTCGGAGCGCTGACGCTCAAATTAGACAGGAAATGTTCCCTTTCTGATTATACCTGCTCCAGTTCTCCTGCAAAAAATCCCAGCAGCACAGGAAAAAAAATTACATTTCAGTTTGTTGTGACATACACGCACACATACATACGGATATGTGGATATATGGATATGTGTGCTATCTGTATATACTGTGAGTGTGTTTAATTCACAGCATGCTGCATTCTGATTATATACACACTCAATATGAACGCATTCAAGAGTTTGGAATCACTTCCAACAAACAATGTAATTTTATATACAATAATAACCTGTGCAACGTAGATTTGAATCTTATAAACTAGACACCAAAAGGTGTTTTTAGTTTTATTTAATATTTCAAGGATTTAAAAAAAATATTTTAAGGATTTATTCTGTAAATTCTACACTATAATCATCCATGAACCTTTTTTTTGTTAAGTTATTTACTTCAAGATTGATCACCACTTTTCAAACACAACATATTCTAGATGTTGATTTTATGGATGTTAACGTTATTATAAGGGTTCTCACAGCTTTTCTCAGGCATTTTGGAATTTCAAACAAGTTTCTTTGCTACATCATTTTTTCCGTATCAGCATTCACTCAGGAATGGAGCACCTATTCTTGGAATTCATCATTCCTGGTGGAAATGGATTTGGCTTAAACATGAAAGCAGGCATGATGTAACCATGGGAATGTGTGTAGCACAATCATGAAAATGGCAATAACATATTCATGTAAACGAGTTTATTGTAACCTTGGAAATGGATGTAGTGTAACTACAGAAATGAGTGTAGTGTAACTGTGGAGATGGGTGTAGTGTAACTGTGGAAATGGGTGTAGTGTAACTGTGGAGATGGGTGTAGTACGTGGAATGGGTGTAGTGTAACTGTGGAGATGGGTGTAGTGTAACTGTGGAAATGGGTGTAGTGTAACTGTGGAGATGGGTGTAGTGTAACTGTGGAGATGGGTGTAGTGTAACTGTGGAAATGGGTGTAGTGTAACAATGGAAATGGGTGTAGCGTAACAATGGAAATGGGTGTAGTGTAACTACAGAAATGAGTGTAGTGTAACTGTGGAGATGGGTGTAGCATAACAATGGAAATGGGTGTAGTGTAACTATGGAAATGGGTGTAGTGTAACAATGGAAATGGGTGTAGCGTAACTATGGTAATGGGTGTAGCGTAACTATAGAAATGGATGTAGTGTAACTACAGAAATGAGTGTAGTGTAACTGTGGAAATGGGTGTAGTGTAACTGTGGAGATGGGTGTAGTGTAACTATGGAAATGGGTGTAGCGTAACTATGGTAATGGGTGTAGCGTAACTATAGAAATGGATGTAGTGTAACTACAGAAATGAGTGTAGTGTAACTGTGGAAATGGGTGTAGTGTAACTGTGGAGATGGGTGTAGTGTAACTGTGGAAATGGGTGTAGTGTAACTGTGGAGATGGGTGTAGTGTAACTATAGAAATGGGTGTAGTGTAACAATGGAAATGGGTGTAGCATAAGTATGGAAATGGGTGTAGTGTAACTATGGAAATGGGTGTAGCGTAAGTATGGAAATGGGTGTAGCGTAACTATGGAAATGGGTGTAGCGTAACTATGGTAATGGGTGTAGCGTAACTATGGAAATGGATGTAGCGTAAGTATGGTAATGGGTGTGGCGTAACTATGGAAATGGGTGTAGCGTAACTATGGTAATGGGTGTAGCGTAACTATGGAAATGGATGTAGCGTAAGTATGGTAATGGGTGTAGCGTAACTATGGAAATGGGTGTAGCGTAAGTATGGAAATGGGTGTAGTGTAACAATGGAAATGGATGTTGTGAAACAATGGAAATAGGTGTAGTGAAGCCATGGAAATGGGTGTAGCGTAAGTATGGAAATGGGTGTAGTGTAACAATGGAAATGGGTGTAGCGTAACAATGGAAATGGATGTAGTGTAACAATTGAAATGGATGTTGTGAAACAATGGAAATAGGTGTAGTGAAGCCATGGAAATGGGTGTAGCGTAAGTATGGAAATGGGTGTAGTGTAACAATGGAAATGGGTGTAGCGTAACAATGGAAATGGATGTAGTGTAACAATGGAAATGGGTGTAGTGAAACAATGGAAATACGTGTAGCGTAAGTATGGAAATGGGTGTAGCGTAAGTATGGAAATGGATGTAGTGTAACAATGGAAATGGGTGTAGTGTGACTATGGAAATGGGTGTAGTGAAGCCATGGAAATGGGTGTAGTGTTAGTATGGAAATGGGTGTAGTGTAACTATGGAAATGGGTGTAGTGTTAGTATGGAAATGGGTGTAGTGTGACTATGGAAATGGGTGTAGTGTGACTATAGAAATGGGTTTAGTGTAACTAAAGAAATGGGTGTAGTGTGACTATAGAAATGGGTGTAGTGTAACTAAAGAAATGGGTGTAGTGTAACTACGGATGGGTGTGGCGTTACCATGGAAGTGGAGGGCTGGCAACCATGGAAAATGGGTAGTGTAATCATGGAAATGGTTGTAACATAACCATGTAAATGTATGTAGTGTAACCATGGAAACGGGCGTAGCATAACCAAGCAGTGAGTGTAGCCACTGATCCGTGTAGTTTGTTTGTATGTATAGTAGCTGTTTATCAATCAGTCCATGTTATAATTATATTTCTATCACACGGCTGATGAGAGCTGGTCAGTATGAACAGACCTGCACTAGACCTGATTTCATACTCAAACTCTACATCACTTTAACTAGGGCTGGGTTTTGGGTGTTTGGGGGAGGGGCATGCCCCCCATGTCCGGTGGAAACGCTGTGTATGTGGTGTGTATGGGTGTATGTGGTGCGATTCGTCTGGTGGAGTATTCCAGTAGCGAGTAGAGTCGTGTATCTGCTGCTAAATCGTGAGAGAAACATCTGGGCCTCAGCTGCAGCGCTCCATTCCTCAGCCCAACCCCAGGGCTTTTTTTAGACTCAGACCATGAGACTGGAACGCTCCTCCACTGGCTTCTGGACTTCCTCAGCAGTGCGGCAGGGCTGAGACGGGGTGTAGAGTTAAATGGCGGTTACACTCAGGCAGTGACAGACACACCCTCAGCTCTCAGACGGCCCTTTAACCTTTACCAGGTGAGTCCATTTTTACTCCTTTAAAATGAGCTTCAGCGCTTCAGGCTGTGTCAGGGAAGCACGTTCAGCTGATACCGTCACCCTTCTGGCTGACAAATCTCAGAAATATTCAGACGCTCTTCACTCTGTTCGGCTCTAACTTTCCTTCAGAAATGAAGGCAGCAGGCAGAGCCTTCAGAGCTGACCCGTATCTGGCCAGCGTGTGAGGATTTCACCACCGTATTTAAGCTGAATTATTAAAAACTCTCTGTAACTGATTTTCTTTGACCTTTTTTAGAAAAAAACAGTTTTGAAATGGAGGATTTTCTCAGAACACAAAGCGTCTATAGGTCAGGCGTTAGTTCGGTTCCTCTGAGAATGAAGTGGTGTGGTCTTCAGGCCCAGCTGAACCCCCCTGAGTGTCTGCCATTTGGCTGTGGAAGTGCTTTATGGTGGAACATCAGCGCTGCTGAGGTCATCAGTCACAGCTTTTATGAGTCAGAGTGAGGATGCATTCACCTGCAGCTGAAAGGGCCCAATGCCCTTCAAGGGTTCTTTAGTGAAGACAGCGGTCCTATATAGAATCATGAACACTCAAAGAACCCTTTGCATGCTTGAACGGTTCTTTGCATGGTGAAATGGCTCTTCAGATTGATGGAGAATGTGTTGTACACGGTTCTGTATGGCACCAACAAGGGCTCTACTATTGTTATAATGTTGAGCTTGTTACAATAGTAGAACCCTTTTTTGGTGCTATATAGAATCATTTTAAAAATCGTTCTACACACACAAAAAGAGGGTTCTTCAAGGGTTCGTTAGTAAAGAAAATGGTTCTATATGGAACCATTAACACTCACTGAACCCCTTGCATGATTAAAGGGTTCTTTGCATTGTGAAAATGTTCTCCAGATTAATGGAGAGTGTGTTTTATAAGGTTCTATATCAAATCGTTCTGAAAATGGTTCTATATAGCACCATAAAGGGTTCTGCTACTGTTACAGGCTTAACATTGTAACAGTAGCAGAACCCTTTTGGTGCTTTCAGGTCAGCGTCCACTGAGGAGCTTCTCTGTTGGACAAGGTGAACAGCTCACAGTCTGGATATAATAACATGATATTCAAAGAAAATTAGAGACAACACAGAAAGCCAGTCTCAGTTCAGAGACGCGGAGCAGAAACGCCCACTGAGAAGGAGACTCCATGTAGAAATAGACAGGGGATCAGAGGGAAATGAGAGAAAGAAAATCAAACACAGATTTATAGACGCTGGAATATTTTACATAACAAACACAAAACAGACATTTCAGAAAAATAAAAACATACAAATCCTAACAATCTGATGTTTTTCTGAACAGCAGGACTTGTTTACACAGCGAACGGGCCTCATCAGGTCAGGAGAGCTTTAATGGTCACTTTCATCCAGATACAGTGTTTCTAGAAGAACTTATTCATTTTTGAAGCTTATATTAACAGAAGTTCTGACGTTGTCATGACGACTGCAGGGTGGGGGAAATACTACTATTGTTATTATTAATAATATAATAATGTAAAAAAAATATTCTTATTATTATTATCATTACTGTTGTTGTTGTTGTTATAATAGCTGAACATTTTAAAGAGATGGTTCTTCAAGGGTTCTTTAGTAAAGCCAATGGTTCTGTATAGAACCATTTCATACTCATGGTGAAATTCATCTTCAGATTGATGAATATGCTGTATATGGTTCTATATAGCACTAAAAAAAGTTTCTGCTATTGTATAAAAGCGTCACATCATAACAATAGCAGAACCCTTTTTGGTGCTACACAGAACCCTTTTTTTACTGAAGAACCCTTGAAGAACCATAATTTTTAAGAGTGTAAAGAACCCTTGAAGAACCATCTTATTTATAAAGCTCTTTCATGCATAACAGCAGCTGAGGGTGCTTCATAATATTATTAAAGCAGCACAGTTAAAAGAACTGTTAATAAAACTAAAGAAAAATCATTCAAATAAACACAAAACATTATTATATTCCACCGCACTGATGTTCAGGGAGGGAAGATGAAATACATGAAAATGGAGGATGGGGCCCTTTAAGGTTATTCACACTCTTTTCTTTAAAGAACCATTAGCTGAAGGGTTCCTTAGTGAACCGAAAGTGGTTCTTCTATGCAATCAGTCTGAGGAGCACCTTTTGTTCTTCAAATTGATGGAGAACGTGCAGGAACGTGCTGTAGATGGTTCTGTAGAAAACCTCTTTGAAAATGGTTGTAAACAGCACCCAAAAGGGATCTTCTGTTGTTACAAGCTTGACATCGTAACTGTTGAAGAAACCTATTGGGTGCTGTTTAAACCCATTTTCAGAAAGGTTCTAGATAGAACCATCTACAACACATTCTCTATCAATCTGAAGAACTATATCATGATACAAACAACTATTTAACAATGCAAAAAGTTCTTTGAGTGTTCATAGTTCTATACAGAACCATTTTCTTTACTAAAGAACCCTTGAAGAACCATCTTTTTAGGAATGTACCATTTAGTTATATCTAGTCTTTATTAAAGGTACATGCAGTTAAAAATATAGTAACAAATACAAATAAATGAATTTAAAAAATAGATTTAACAAATACATTTTTTGGCAATTTTCATACAAAATACAACCCCATTTCCAAAAAAGCTGGGACGGGGGCCTGTTTACCACTGTGTTTCATCACCTCTTCTTTAACAACACTCTGTAAGTGTTTGGAAACTGAGGAGACGCTGCTGTAGTTTAGAAAGTGAAATGTTTTCTGTTCTTGTTTGATACAGGATTTCAGCTGCTCAACCGTTCAGGGGCTCATTTGTCATATTTTTCATTTCATAATGCGCCAAATGTTCTCAGTGGTGACAGATCTGGACTGCAGGCAGGTCAGTTTAGCATCCGGACTCTTTTAATATGGAGCAATGCTGTTGTTATACATGTAGAATGTGGTTTGACATTGTCTTGCTGAAATAATCAAGGCCTTCCCTGAAAAAGACGTCGTCTGGATGGCAGCATATGTTGCTAAAACATGTATATATCATTCAGCATTAATGGTGCCTTCACAGATGAGCACGTCACCCATGCCATGTGGGTAAATGGGCAAATATTTTTCAAAAAACAATAAAATTTCTCAGTATCAACATTTGATATGTTGTCTTTGTACCATTTTCAATGAAATATAGACTTTAAATGATTTGCACATCATTGCATTTTGTTTTTACTTTCATTTTGCACAGCGTCCCAACTTTTTTTGGAAATGGGGTTGTATATTTATGCATATTTATACAATAAATACGTTAGGAAGATATTTTTTTTCCACATGGTGGAGATGCAGTGTTGGAGCTGAAGAGCGGTGTCTGCTGTGAACAGCCGTGTGTGGATCCTCTCTGCACGGCTGGCTGCCTCTCTCAGCTCCAGGTGGAGCTCTAACGGAACGATGTTGGGCTGTTTTGCTGTAAGGGGGGCTCAGACTGTCCCGCTGCAGTGGGCTCTGCGCTCCGTGGAGCGTGAACTCCCCTCTCTGATACACAATTAGCGTTCTCCGCCCAGCGAGCTCGCGTCGCGCTCCAGTTTCGACAGGTGTTCCTGCGCGCTCGGCCGAGCGCCCATCTGTTTACCTTCACCGCCCCCCTCCCCGTCCTCCCCTGCACACCTTCCTGCAGCGCTGCCTCTGACTGTACAGCACACAAACACAAACACTGTTCAGCTCTGACTCCGCTGTCATCACACACACAGGCCTGTGAAAAAGTTTCGGCACCCCCCGGCCTGATTCCAGAGTGTAGATGAGTTACTCATCCTCTGCAGAGACACTCCTCTGCACACTTTAATGCATGATTACTGTTTATTTGCTGGGTTTAACATACTGGAAAAAATGGGCCTGCGCAAAAGTCATGGCACACTTCATTTGATTTCTAGGTTTTTCACTGCTTTTTATGCCAATTTCATTTTTTAAAACTGAAGCTCTGTAAGGATTAGGTGAGCAAGCAAGCTCACTAATCAACCAATCAATCAATCAATCAGCCTTTAATTAAACTCAGAGCACACTGAGGGTGACCCTCATTTGCAACGGAGCCGACATTACAGCACAAAACAAGGTACTGAGAAGAGTAAATACTCATATAATGAGATGAAGCATAAGGATATAACTATAACAGCTCAGTACAAAATACACTTTAGGCACTTTAAAACAATAAAAGCAAACAAAAAAAGCTGAATAATTAAAAAAGAAACAAAAAGTCACAATATAAATAACATTATTAACACTTTAATGAGCCAAACTGACATTCGAACTTCTTAAATAAAAATCAGTTTAAAATAATTAAAAACTCTTAAAAAGGTGGTTCTTTAAGGGTTCTTTAGTAAACCATGAACACTCAAGGAACTGTTGCATGATTAAAGGGTTCTTTCCATGGTGAAATGGTTCTTCAGATTGGTATATGGTTCTATACAGCAGCAAAAAGAGTTGTCATACATCGTAACACTAGCAGAAGGTTCTATATGGAACCATATACAGCACATTCTCCATTCATCTGATTTCACCATGCACAGAACCCTTTAATCATGCACTGGTTCTTTGAGTGTTCATGTTTCATATATAGAACCATTTTCTTTACTAAAGAACCCTTGAAGAACCATATTTTTGTAAGTGTATATACAAATAAGTCTCCACCTACAGACTCTTTCAGTTTCACTTCAAAAGAAATTAAAAAGAGCTCCAAAAATTGAAAAATGATTGTAAGTATTATTAAGTGTAGATTTAGGGGTTATGGTTTGGGACAGACTCCTCCCAACAGAAAGAACTCTATAAACGATGAGTGTGTTTATATTTAGTTCATTACTGTCTCTATTAATGTCCTGGGTTTAAATAGATGAGAACAGAATCACTGTAAATGTCTAAGATCTGAATATTTCACTGTATTTTTTAATTGTTTTTACTGTGGGAGCTCAGTTAGAGCTAATTTGGTAGAACGCTCCACATCAGCGTTAACATCATTAATAAACTGATAATGATTAAG